CAGTGGGGGGACACGTCCCGATGGCTCCAGAGTCCAGTGGGGGGACAAGTCCTGGCTGAAACTTCCTGCCTGCTCCTGAGTTAGTGGGGACGCAGTCTGCTCTGTGGCGTCCCCACTAACTCAGGAGCCAGGCAGAAGGAGAAATCCCACACAAGACAGGCTCTAGAGCAATGTGGATATCCTAACTGGGCCTTCCTGAAAGAAGAAACCCAAACAGGACTCCAGTCAGCCAACAGGTGAAAAGGAGGAACCCAGACCCAGACCAGTGGTCATTCCATATGTTGAGGGAGTATCAGAGAAACTGAGACGTTTATTTTCTAAACATAACGTCCCAGTGGCTTTTAAACCCCAAAATACATTACGGCAAAGACTGGTTCATCCCAAAGATCCAGTCCCCCGGCACAAACAGAGTAATGTTGTGTATGCTGTTCAGTGTCAGGAGGGCTGTGATCAGTCTTACATCGGGGAAACTAAACAGCCACTGGCCAAAAGGATGGCCCAGCACAGAAGATCAACATCATCAGGCCAGGATTCTGCGGTCTACACTCATCTCCAGGCCAGCGGTCACTCTTTCAGGGATGAAGATGTTCACATCCTGGACAGAGAGGAACGATGGTTTGAGAGAGGAGTAAAGGAGGCCATCTTTGTGAAAAGAAACCGTCCATCATTAAACAGGGGCGGAGCCTCCAGGTTCAACTGTCCCCCTCTTACAATGCTGTGATTGCTAGTATCACTCAGCCCTCTGTGAACAGTAAACAGCCATCAGGTGCTAATGATCCATTGTTAGGCTGATGGTCCTTCTTGAGCATGTGATCAGCTGGTTCTGGTTGTCAGCAGCAAACTGGTTGATCCACTCTGAGAAGGTGCTATTTAAGAGACTGAGCTGAATACAGCACCTCAGACTGAGGAAGTCCTCAGGATGAGAGACGAAACGTTTCTAGATTTTTTTGCTTTGTTTTGTTTTTGAATGTCCAGAGGACCAGATTGAACTTTTGTATATTTCTTTACCAAGTTTTCCACATGGAGCTTAAAAGAGAGACACAAATCGACCAAGATATCCAAATATTTGTAGGAATCAACAAACACAATTGTTGGATGTAACTGGGACCCTATGTACATAATTTTGTTCCACCACGTGGTGCGAATGACAAATAAACTGTCTCTGAAATAAAGGAATGCAGGCAGGTGTGGAGTGGGGGATATTTAAAGAGAAGGCGTCCCTGGAGGGAGCCCTGGGGTGCTCCTGGAGGCTCTCAGAGTAACTGTTTAAAATACCTCACATGCCTCCAGTTATCATTTATTGACAAAGTTCCTCCAGGACTGGACCAGGACCTGATCTCGGACGCCTTTGGGAACCTGAGAGTCCAGACCAGGATCTGCAGCTGACCCTGACCCACTGAGCACCAAGGACCGATTCCAGACAAAATGGAGGCTGAGCGCACCTGACGCGCGTGTAAACCTCTCTACTACAGGAGCGTTGGAGCGAGGCAGGCCGCGTGCGCAGCATGACGGGCCGGTACCGAGCTGCGGTCCGGAGGGCTGAAGGCTCGGCTCACCTGGAGTCGGTGTGGTTCACCTGTTTAATCCGGGATCAGCCGCGCTGAGGCAGAGCAGCAGCTGCCGACATTTGTCCGCAGGAACACGCGCTCCTCCGCCCGTGCGCCGTCACAGTCCTCCGCGCGGTGGAGCGTCCCCTCGGCCGCGTCGCTGCTGTTTGCGTCCGAACAGCGGAAAGGATCAGTTGTGTTCTCCGTGTCCAGCTGATCAGTGGATCGCTGCCTGTCAGAGATCCATGAACAATACTTCCGCTGGGGGTTTCAAAATAAAGCGAACAGAAGCGCAGACTTTGAAGCAAATAAGAGCGGAGAGTTTCAGTAACAGCAGTCCTTTGAAAACACAGCCCACTATCGCTTCTGTCACACACACATTGCGTTAAACTTTACTTCTAAAGCCCGATTTAATACATAAACATCGAAGAACAATCATACTTCCGCTCTGCGCCGCCTGTCGGCCACTTTATATCATAGATGTCATATACACACTAGATCCAGCACTGACCATAGATATAAACACTAGATCCAGCATTGGCCGCCATCTTGGAACGGTCGCCCGCTCCACTCAGTGTGACCTGTTTGACGGAGCAATGAAGAATCTGTTGAATGAGTCAGAGCTGAATCTAAACTCATTCTCACGATTTGTTCCTCTGTAAATCTGAGGAGTACAGACATTAAAGATGAACACATGGTTCAGTGTTTTTAAATATTCTTGGTGGAGTTAACATTAACACTAATAAAATATTATTATGACACGTTTGCAAAACTCACAGTCACTGACACATTTTTATTAAGATCTATATATTATACAT